GTGTTTCTATTTCGGCGCGACAAAGCTCGCAAAAGATTTGCGAGCCTTGTAAGTGATGGTGCGCTTGATCTGTTCTCTTGCATGGGCGTGACGCTCATCGTAGTGCTGAATTACGTGGGGCAGTATACCCCCGAGACTAAAGATTTTGGTGTATACCCATGGTACAACGATGAATGGGCTGCGAAAGCGCTGAACGAATTCCAGATGGTACTTGTTGTATCGTGGTCCGATCTAGCCAGTCGAGTGATTTTTTCAGTCGGTTTGCTTATGACAATAACCAACATGAAGAAGTTGCTGTGCCCCATTCCACGACATGGAAATCGAGTTGTAGACTCCAAAGACACATCGCTGGACATCCCTGAATCTGAAAAAGTAAAGCCGAATACCGTCCCAGGGATACCGAAGAAGCATCATGGAAGGAAAGCGAAGTGGTCGCGCTGGTGGCAAGTGACGCTGCATGGTATACATCTCGTCTTCTTTATGTGGGGGGTTGGAGTTCTTAGTCTACACATCCATGCATCAGTGCAAACTTCATTGCAGCAGTGCACACTACAAGTGAGACCGTGGGCAGCTGTCCGCCCGTGCTGTTTCTTGGTATCACTCGATTGCCATCGCTTCCAAATTTCTGGTCAACTGGAAGAAGTCGACTCCAAATGGCGAGAAGACGGATCTACGGTGGCTCTGATGGTTATCAAACATTGTCCTTTGGTCGCGATCCCCGATACATTCAATGAATTCCACGAACTCATCAGCGTTAAAATATATAATTCGACAATCGTCGACTGGAGAGAATCGGCTGCAATAACGAATACGAACCACCCGGCATTTTTGACTCTTATGGTCGTTCGGTCCAACATGACAAACGGACAATTGCCGGCAGGTTTCCAATCCACTGACACACCGGTCAGCTTGTACGACTAGGAGTTTTGTGCTACTAATCTTCGTCAAGTTCCAGACGATCTCGACCTAAAGTGGCTAGCAGGATCGATTGTCATCATCGAATACAGTCAACTGCAGGTCGTTCCCCAAGCTCTATTACGCGTTATGCCATCCTATTTTTCACTCACCGGCAACCCCATCAGCGAACTTCCACCTGAGATTTTTGAGATTGAAGGGTTGACAGACCTGGGTATCGGCGATACAAATATTCGAGAGCTTCCTCAGAATGTGACTCAACTCTCACCAGCACTCTCGTCAATCTACGTAATAGGTACACGGATTTCGCTCTTTTGGTCGTGGGTGGATGACATTCTCGGGCGGGACAGTATTCGAAGCATACCACGAGCGATCTATGCAGGAAACACAATTTATTGTGACGATTTGTAGAGGATTTCGACAAAGTTAACCAGTTCTTTTAGTACTGTAACAAGTTCTGATTATTCTCTACAACTTATGGATTCAGCGGAGGCAGGTTTTGAGGGGAGTATCAGGTCGTTTGTGGACTGTAATCCTGCCATAAGTGGACTCAGTGGACCTCTATACCCCCTAGCAGCGGAGAACAAGCAGAATGCACTCCACAGTTGAACACCGGAGATACCATTTTGCACTTTGCATAACAGTTTTCATTTTGTCCTTTTAAAGCAAAAGGCTTATTGAGGGAGACTTCTGTTCTGTACGAGCAAGGCTAATTTCTTGCACTAAAGTCCTACGTACCGGAATCGACGAAAAAAATGCAATACCGCGATCAAAAATCTCGTGGCGAGAAATACCGAAGCACGAAATGAATATTTATGCCTTTTTACCTTTTTACGATTTACTTGGGGTGATAATTTTACAGCGTTGCATTATTTTTTCGTCGATTCCGGTACATGTAAGCTATGTTGCGTGTAGAAAGCAATCTCTCAAAACATACCGGTTTCTACAACCGGTGTAAAAAGTACCTTCAGGTCAAAACCGTAAAAACGGCGGAAGGCGTAAAATCTCGCACAAGATACTCCTGTCCATTTGAAACCGTCGCTTTGCTTAAGAAAAGGCGCGCTTTAACTGGGACACTGTTTTGATGCCACACAGATTATTGTGGATTCCGAGTATATTTGGAATTCTCGATCGATTCGTGGGCATCGCGCCCAAATCAACAGCGCGCTCTGATTGGTCAATTAGGATTGCCGTTTAACGCGGAACGAGCCGGACTGCTGCACTGCTGCACTGCTGGATGCTTCTTTTGCAGCACCTTTCCTTGCAGCCCTGGATCTCCAAGGACGCACCCGTACACTTGGTACTATTGTCAATCTTGTGTTTTGATGCTGGTAGATACGTCAACGATTTGCTAAACAACATTTGTTACTCTTTAGCACGATGGAGGCAGCAGCTACTCGGCAACATGCTAGTCCCAACACAGGTTTCCACTGCTTGTACGGCTATTACTATCTTGGCTATATCAGGAAGGAACTGGCACACATCTACAACAAAACACAGCAGACAATAGGAAACTGGATTCGTGTGTATGAAGTTACGGGGACCTACCAACGCGCTACGTCAAAGTCAGACCGGAAATTTACGGTAGAACAGCGCTCATGGCTTCGAGTATTTTTTGAGCAGAGACCTTTAGCATATCTGGACGAGGCACAAACTGCATTTCGCTTGAACTTTCAGCTCACCATTTCCAAAACATCCGTGTGGAGAATTATTCACGATTTTGGGCTAACTTGGAAAGTGTTGGAACGCCGAGCCATTCAAATCAAAGAGCGAGACATCTTTCGGTTTGTGGAGGAGCTGAGTCACATCAACTGGACCTACTATAATGTTGTTTTTCTGGATGAAGTTTTATTCGATAACAGGGGAATAATGCGAAAGAGAGGTGAGTTCCAGCGAAAACCCAGAGTCTCCATGCTTGCGTTTATTGGTGTCAATGGCATTATTGACTACTATGACACTGTTGGAACATTTGACCGATTAGAGTTTGTTCGATGTTGTCAAGATTTTGCGTCCTCTAAGCGTGCCAGTGTTCGACCTTACCCCAGAACTAATTCTGTTTGGATTTTAGATGGTGCATCGACACCCTGAAATTGTGCATTATCTAAGAAGTATCGGAATTGTACCGATTTTTCTACCTGCCTATTGCCCGTTCTTTAATCCCATCGAATTTCTCTTTGGTTACGTCAAGAAAGCCTTTCAGCGCTACTACGTGGAGTCCACGAATCGTGACTTAATGCCATTTATTGTTGACACATTTCGACGCTTTGTGAACTTTAATATGGCTCGGGTGTTTGAACATTGCGGCTGGATGGTCGATGGAACTTTCAATCCTGTGGGGCCGCTGTCAACAGAGTCACGCGCAGTACCAGATTTTTGGGAGGACGTTTCCGAGGAAGAAGAAGAATTGGACGAGGATGCATTAGGCTTTCGTACGCTTAGTTAAAAAGAAAAAAAAACAAATGAATGATAGCACGCTCGCTTAACCTATCTGAATTATCGGTGCTCAAAGTCCTCAAGATTTTCCATGTTCTGCAGCGGGTCGACCAACTCGCCAGGGTCTGGTAGAGGCATGTGATGGAGGAGCGACTCAATTTGGACCTTACGAGCCTGCAACATCGTCTCAAAACTCTCCAACCGGCGACCATACATCTCCCAGTCGCGACGTAACTCTGTTGACCCAGCGATAGATGCGTTCACGACGTCGAGAGCAATTTGTGTCGAGCGGTGAAGATCATTGACGTGCTCTTGGACACGAGAATCAGTAGTACGCAAGAGTCGCAAAATATGTGGAGGTGGTGGAGCACGTATTTTATCGTCCCATGTAGAACGATCCTGACTGCGAACCACCTCAGTAACCCACATACGCCACACCACAGCTTCACCTGTGTATGTGGCGCTCCAAAAGTCTTGTGGGCGCCCCACAACCTCGCGAAGTGTGACTTCAGCAGCTGCACCGGCCCTGTCAGTCTCGGCTGGGAGAATGCACTCCTTTTGAAAAGCTTGGCGATCTTGTTTTCTCCCGAGACTGACGCCATATTCATAGATGAGAAGCGTGGCAGTCTTGTCATGCATTGATTGAAGCCAAGTGTTCCAGTCCTGGTTGGATTTTGAGCTGTCGACGATGTGTTTTTTCACCTTGAACACCATGAACTTGGACCAAGAGCCAATCGCAGCTTGCTCGACAGTCCAAATCCCACCGGACTTCACTGCCCTCCCTTTAATATGAGGGCTGAATTCCGCCCATATTTTCTCCAGAATGTCCTGGAACGAAGTTCCACCTGCTACAAAGGGGTCAAGAGAGTCACCAGAGCTGTCTCGCTCGCCTACCGTCTCCTTCACAATGAGCTGCATGACCAACCGGTAAACGTGAGATGATGCTGGTTGGTATACCTCAGTTGACGCTGGACTACGGCGTCGTTCCGGGTACGGGGACGTTCGCACTCGCCCTTGAGGTGTCTGCGTTGGCGACGTCGACTCCATCTTAAACAATGATGTAAAGCGAGATAACCACTCTCATCTGTCATTTTTTATGTTGTTTGGTAGTGGAGCGATTTTTTGCGCCTGGAGGCATGTCAATCGGCCCTGAAAATTTTGAGTAGAACCCACAATAATTTTGCAGACTTTTTACGGACCACTGGTTGCAAAAACTTGATCGGTTGCAAAAATACCGTACATTCCGGTACACGATGTAAGCTAATCCTGGGACGTTGTACAGTACAGAAGTCCCTCAAAGTAAGCGTAGGGGGACCGAGACACGATCTTAGAGGGTGATAAACAGATGTTTAAAAAGTACTGATATTTAGTTAAGAAGCGAGGCGATCTTGCTCCTGTCACAGAATGCCTGCGTGTCGCTAGCAGTTCTGAATGGTTTTGGGTGAGATCTCGTCGTAGGCCACCTTACTCCAACAAAGAGCGGTGTAGATATCTAGAGCCAGTGTCAGCCGATGTTTGGGGTCTTTGCGTCCAGAGAACACCTTCCTCTGCGTGAGAGTGTACTTAGCCTCGCTCCGAAAGAAGAACGAGGTCTCATCCATGTTGCAGATCTCGGACCGGGCGTACGAGTCCGTCAGCTTTCGTAGTTTCACACGTCCGGCTTCAGCTGCCTCTTGGTCAACTGACGCAGCTTCGCCGTGCTTCCGCTTCTTGGAGATTCCGTGACGCTCTTGCAATCTATACAGCCAGCCCTTAGAGAGCTTCAACGTGGTGTTCTCGCCATACACGTTCACGCGAAGAGCAATAGCCTTTATTACCTTGCCTGTGATAGCCTCCACCTTGCCGTCCATTGCCTTAAAGACCTTCATAATGCGAGCGTCCGTCTCCTGGATTTGGGGGCTGACGAGCTGCTTGCGCTCTAGCTGACAGGGCTCTATAGCGGCCCACTTAGACTCCCCAGCGATAACATTGCGAGCGGCATCGCGTGAAAGAGATTTTTCCAGCTTGAACGCACGGGTTGGCCACGCTGCGAGCTGTGTTGGACAGTTTGCCTTTGGCGCGCATATCCTTCGCATACTTGCACATGAAACAGTTTTACTTATGAGAGCCCCGGGGTCCGGATGGGACCCCGGGGCCCCGCCAATTGTTTCACATAGCGATCTTCTGCTCCATATTAAGGCGGATCCGGCGCGGCATGGGGCTGGCGGTCATGGTCGCTTGGAAGAGTGATAGTGAGCATGGAGGGAGGCGTACGAAGCGGGAGCATGAGTTACCTCAGTCTTTCAATGGTTTAGTTAGCGAAGAGACCGGACCGGTCTGAAAATGATGGAGATCTTTCCCGCCGACTGCAGTTTATCCAAAATCAGTGCATTTTTGTGATTGGCCAGTTGAACCTGTATGTACCGTAGCAGATATGGCGGGGTATTACGTAAGTAGGTGACGCTTACTTTGAGGGACTTCTGTATTACGTTTAAACGATACCGTAATCCACAGCTCGTGTTTAGCTCAGGCGTAAACTCTGAACCTGTTTACTGTACTATCATACACTGTTCTTCACCCATGCAATTTCTCACTTCGCATTTTTCCTTCTACCAAACAAAACCAACCACTAGGAGCACCTATTGTCGATGCGGACCGACTACCTGATGCTGCTAGCAGCGGCCATTGTGTTTTTACACATCCCTGCCTTGACGATGCCTGCGGCTGAAACGAGGCAAACAGCAGCGAATATTATGTACCCAGTTCTCGATGGAGAACAAAACGTCCTTGGCAAGCGATCCCTAAGAACCGACCACATGAGAGTTAGCAATGTTGAGGACTGAGAAGGTGATGAAGAACGAATTTTTCGCCGATTTACGGATTGGATCAAGTACCTTTTTAACAAGATGAATCCGAAACAGTTACACACCTACTTGGGCTTAGATGACCTTGGCGAAACGGCCTATAAGCACAAGAACTACCCGATCTATCTGATGAAGTCGAAAAAGTGGCGGGACATACTATAAATCAAGAATCAACTCATTGACCGAGAAGGACATTGATGGCGGTTGAAGCCGCCACTGGTTTGAATCAGGTAGTGCAACAGAAGCCCTGATACGCAACTTTACCGCAACATAAGGTTAAAGCTGGGCGATCTTCCAGCAGCCAGTATCCATTTCGCCAGCGAATTGACAAGCGGGGAGTGAGACTAAATGGCATCACGCTCGGAGCCGACAGCTTATGGCACGAGATCGCTCGCAAGTGACGACCGGCTGAGTGCTCGCTCTGCTGCTCGACGCAAGTGGATTAGATGGGGGATCATTGGTGCGTCTCAAGGTAAAAGGGCGATTTTTTCGCCCTTTTAGCTGTAACGAATTCTCTCAGCTATGACATTCAGAAAGGTGTTCGCACGTAACCAGAAATTGCATGTACGGTCTATCCAAAGTGTTTAAAAATCTATTGTTGTAGATTATTATCTGCAGCGGTTCGGAACATGTCGTCACAATCATCGTCCAAACTTTAATAACAGCGTAAATTCTCCTATCTCCATGTCTAAATCCCCCGATAAAAGGTTTTTATTCACGATGTCATTTGCATCCTCGTACTTTCAGGTTCGATATCGTCGTGTTCTCCACCACCACGTTCAATCAAACCCATTCCTCCCTCAAATCTTCTATACAGCGTACCAAACAAAGCTCCTTATCTTTTGGCAGCACCGTGCCCTCACCTTTCGCTCGTGACTTTTTCTTTTTTCGAGTTTGGGCCGTGTTCGGCGCCAACAATGAATAAGTGTACGGCGGCTGTCATATTTAGACTGAGTAAAATCAGTATACAAATTACTCATCGATCGCTTGATGTCTCCACCCCTTTCCAAGGGGTGTAGGACCTCTAGTTTGTGCGCCGCTGTGAAGAATGACGGATGCACGGAGGTCTTTCCCGCTCGGTCCCTGATTGATTGAAACCCTCCTAAATGTCATAGCAAATCGTACGTGATAACTAAGGGAATTTTGTAGATAGAGACATGCAGTTGGAATAGTTAGCCTGCGACCTAAAAGGGAGAAAAAACCGCCCTTTACAGTTTTTTTTGATTGGCTAATAAGCGAACATTAGGAACGATTGAGGCGATGGCGACCACAACTATCGTGACTGGACAAAACAAACTGGTACAACGTACCTTCCCGGTAACATAACGCCGACAAATACGAAGATATTTACCCCAGCGACCAGTTTCTGAATGATGACGCGTTGGCGTTGATCAGTGGATGATGCTCGCCGCGGCGCTCGGTGTCGTGTTAGCGCCCAACATCAAATAAGCGGTGGGAATAACAAGTCTACGGAGCTAATGCAGCCTTGGTTAGCCTATAGACGGCCGCGATCAGACGGAGGCTGCTACATAATGCTCAAGATGCATCTTTAGCAATTACTTAGGGGTAGCTAGCTGGAAGCGAGGCAGAACCTTGACGCTGGTTTTGTACGGTTCCGTGGGTTGCGGTCAACTGGTGCATATATCTTACGCTATTTATGGACAAGTGAAACTTTGTAAAGCGCTTTGACGCCAAATCCTTCTCGCCCAAATTTTGCGAACACATTACAATTTGATATCCCGACCTTCTGACTGCAACCGTGGAATTATCGTCAAGCCGTCTCGCACGACCACAGCATGCTAGCGGCGGCATGGTGTGGCGGAAACGTGGTCAACCTGGTGTCCAATGCGGATTCTTCAAATATCACCTGTGTGGCTCGAATGGCTGTCAGGGAGAAGCAGTTATATCTAGCCCCAGAATGTGTTGCCCAGTTCAACACAAATGTGCAGAATGTTGAT